GGACTGCTAGGGCTGTTGTGAGCTGAGGGGGCGCTCCTCAAGTGGCTGTCGAGGGACATTTACAGAGGCGCCACTGCGCCCCTGGCAAAAAAAAAAGTGTTCTGCGACCGCTTACTTCGCGTAATGGACGAGCCACCCCTGGGTGCAAGACATAGAAGGTAAATGTGATAAGCTAATCTATCTGTTTGCAAGAACTTTTGAAAATTGCCATCTTTCAAGACATAAAAACTTAAGGTGACACTAAATTTGCCACGAAAACAGCACCATCATGTATTAAACCTGGAGTAGGAATGTGTACGTCTTTAAATACAGGACTGCATAATCAGCAGCTCATCCCAGGATGAAAAATGATGGGGATTGCAGACCATCAACAATTGTTCTCCAGTTGTGCATTATGTGAAGTACAGTGGGCCCTTGGTATCTGCTGGGGTTTGGTTCCAGGACCCCTGTGGATTCCAGCATTGGTGGATGGTCAGAAACCATTATTTGGAAGGGTGTTGTAAAATGATGTCCCTTATAAAGAATGCTAAATCAAGATTTACTTTTTTGGAATGTTATAATATTTATATTTTCAATCTGTGGACAGCAAAATCCATAGATATGCAACACCAACTGTATTTCTGAATATCCACCACAGAATGCTTACGATATTGAGTTAAAATGTATCATTGTTCACTTATGTATGATTTCAGACATCACTTATCTGATATTCATTTTAGATTGCCGGATGTCTATTGCAAGCTGAACACTAATACATTTAATCTCCAGTAAGGAAAGACAGACACCTAGGTAGCCAGGAAGGATGCAGTTATCTTTTAATCTCTTATTTCATCATTTTACAGCTTTTTCAATGTCGATTGCTGCTATTTCATCCACTTCCTTCCTCCCTTCTCTCTGGAGCTTGAACAGCACAATAACAGAGAGGAAACAAACAAGGACATCTAATCACCTCTCAACAAAAGATTGCTCCAGGCACTGCCAGGCAATCAAATGCTAATCAAGGTGGTCAGTTGAAACATTCACACCTAGCTCCAACAGACAAGAGTCCTTTGTCCCACCCTGGTCATTCCACAGATATATAAACCCCTTTTCCCTAGTGCCAACAGACCTCACTACCTCTGAGGATGCTTGCCATAGATGCAGGCAAAACGTCAGGAGAAAACGCCTCTAGAACATGGCCATATAGCCCGAAAAAACCTACAACAACCCAGTGATTCCGGCCACGAAAGCCTTCGACAATACATTGTTTTTCTTCTTCTTCATTAGAATCTCCATTATGCAGTCTCTATAATGGCTTCCAGCTGAGCCAGCTCTAGAAGATTCAGTAATTAAGAGTACATCTACATTGTAGAATTAACACAGTTTGATACCACTTTAACTGCCATGGCTCAATGCTATGTAATCCTGGGAGTTGTAGTTTTACAGAATCTTCAGCCTTCTCTGCCAAGGAGTGCTAGTGCCTCCCCCATGATTCCATAGCATGGAGCCATGGCAGTTAAAGTTGATGCCAAAATGCATGGATTCTATACTATAGATGCAGACTTTGCATGGGCTCTTTCATCCATTTGTATCCCTAAATTGATTCTCTGAAGCAATAAAGTGCATAATTTTAAAACTTTAACTACCAATTTCCATAAACGTTACCTCTGATCATATTTAGAAGTCAGTATAAATAGCATTCAGATCTATAGCATATACCACCTCATCACACAGGGGTAAATTGGTCCCTTGCTCTTCTTTGGAGATGGGGCCTGCCAAGAGCCATCACATGATGCAGGCCATGGCCCTGCCCCATTGATGGCTAAAGTGGTGAGGAAGTGTTGCAAGCCCCCCACCCCGGCTACACACACACACACACACACACACACACACACAATAGCTGTGCCCACTACGCGTTGCTGTGGCTAACCTTCCCTCCCTCTTTCTCTCCTCCTTTCTTTCTCTCCTTCCTTCCTTCCCTCCTATTTTCCTTCCCTTTTTTCTTTCATTCTCTCCTTCCTTCCTTATCCTCCTTTTCCCTTCCTCCCCCTTTTCTTTCCCTTCCTCTTTCTCCCCTTTCTTCCTTCTCTACCTAATCTTGGACTGCAACTCTTAGCAGTCCTCCAGATCAATCTATCTACCTACCTACCTTCCTACCTACCTATCTCTATCTATCTATCTATCTATCTATCTATCTATCTATCTATCTATCTATACCACCCCCCTGTTGTGTCAGGTCCACTGGCTGCCGATCCAGTTCCGAGCACAATTCAAAGTGCTGGTTTTGACCTACAAAACCCTATATGGTTCCAGCCCAGCGTACCTGTCCGAACGTATCTCCTTCTATGTCCCGCCTCGGAGTTTAAGATCTTCTGGGGAGGCCCTGCTCTCGGCCCCACCTCTATCACAAGTGAGATTGGTGGGGATGAGGAGCAGAGCCTTCTCAGTGGTGGCCCCTCGCCTGTGGAATTCACTTCCCGGGGAAATTAGGTCATCGACATCCCTCCTCTCTTTTAGAAGGAAACTAAAAACATGGATTTGGGACCAGGCCTTTGGGTAACCTGGCAGATAGACAAAGGACAACGACGACTAGAATTGATAGGATTTGGCAGTGTGGAATGAACTTACGGATTCTGAGTTGGTGAACGTTGAGCTGGTTTTATTGATTGTGATGTATAATTAATGGTTTTAATTGTTTTAAAATTGTTGTTGATATATGTTTTTCTCTTATTGTTTATGTTGGCATCGAATTGTACCTTTTTGTAAACCGCCCTGAGTCCCCCCTCGGGGGTTGAGAAGGGCGGGGTAGAAATGCGCAAAATAAATAAATAAATAAATAAAATCTATCTATCTATCTATCTATCTATCTATCTATCTATCTATCTATCTATCTATCTTGAGTATTGCTGGGAGTTGCAGTCCAGGAATAGGAAATTGGAAATATGCAGGGATTGGGATACTCTAAAAAAAATCCAAGGAGAAGAAAGCTTGCACCTTGGAAACAGTGCATTTGGATCATCCTCCTCTCCTAAAGGGCCTGGTCTAGGAGATGTTGGGATCTGTAGTCAGGAAGCGAGTGTGGATATGCTATTGTGTGTTTTGTTTATCAGGGGAAGTCATTTAGTGCATGCGGCGTAGGTTTTTTGTTGTTGCTTTTTTTGCTTTTTAAGTTCCTCCTGCTGTGTTTTTCCGTGTTTTATGAGTAATGGTCACTCGTTGGCCTGATAGGTATATTGGTGTCAATTCGTCCAGTGGTTTTTGAGTTACGTTAATCCCATAAACAAACATTACATATATGTGTGTGTGTGTGTGTGTGTAGGGGAACATTTAACACCACCCACTCTGGTTTCACTGTACATTTATATTAAATTTCAGTACATAATGACTCACAGATGCTTTCTTCTTAAACTAAACATGGTGACATGTTCAGTGAATACTTGTTATGTCTTTTTTCTCTTCTTAACACTACTGATTTATTTGTAATGTAAAAGGACGAATTTTTTAACATGGCTAGAGCTCTAACTTACAAATGAATATTCATAATCTTAAATGAAAACTCGCCATTGCCTCTCTTGAAAGATACTTGTGCACAATGAATAACTACAGGAAATGAAAAAAACAACTAGCTTTCCATTTACAAAAAAAAAACTAACTGAGAGTTGCATCAAAACTCATTGCACACAACATATATTGTTTTTTAAAACCTCACTCTCCAAATGTTTTTAAAAAGCAGCCAAGTCATTTGTGTTTAACTGTTGACGGCACTGCCAAGACATGAGATAATAAAATGAAGCTTCAAGATGACTTAGCGAATTAACTTTTTTAAGTGAAGGAAGTCTTTTACGGCCAGCCTTGACATGTAACTCGCATAGTTTTTTCCATTCTCTTACTTCACACATGGAACAACTAATTTCTTCTGTTTCCTGTATGTTAAAACAACACTCTCTAACTTTTCCTACAATCTAAGTAGTAAACGGACAGCTCCAGCATGAGGAAAAACACAATGTAAGTAAACAATGGGCATATGTACAATTGTGGGAAGTGCAAAAGTGTACTTACAGGACACAGTGTTAAAAGGTAGAGAAGGAGTTTGCCGGTCATGTTGCGTTCAGGCTGCTGCTTAGTTAGAACGGCAGAAAGGAAACTAACATTTCAAATAAGTGCCCTCCTATTTTCTGCCTGCAAATGAAACTGTAGTCATCAAGGGGAGGGCAAATTCCTCTGGCTCAGATATTGCCTGTATACTATTCTAAGAAAAGGAAATTACCTTACACTGCTGCCCTCTGGACAGCTGTGCCATCAAGATAATTTAGCTTAATGCATATCTTTTTCCCCGATAGAAAAAAAATTGTGAAAGAACTAGTTAAAGAAATAAAATTACAAAAGTAAACAACTTGTGTGTGAGACTTGTGGCGTCTAAAGAATCATGCAAGACAAACAGAGTGTGTGCGGCTGAAGCAGGAAAAAAGTGGTTGGCAATCAAGCTGTCATCTTCATCTTTATTTACAAGAGTGCTTTGTAAACTCCAGCTCACAAGCCAAATGTGCCTTACCTGCCCAACCCATCCAACATACAGGGATTCAAGTAAATCCTCTCCTTTTCCTAAAGCTCTACTTACCCTCCCTCCAAAATGAGGGTTAGCAGATGGGGAGGGTCTCTTGCTCTTGCCTTGAGGAAGGCAAAGAAAGAGCAAAGCTTCTGCTGATATTTCAAGGAACTGGCTGAATCAACCCTCCTCCTTCTTCCCTTTTCAACACACTTATAAAGGAAGGGGGACCAAGACTGCCTTGCACCTGGAAACCAATGCCCTCACTGCGGAAGAAGATGCAGATCAAGAATAGGGCTCCACAGTCACCTACGGACCCACCGCCAGGACACCGAACTTGGAGGACCATCATCCTTGGACTATGAGGGATCGCCTAAGTAAGTAAAGGAAGGGGGAACAGGTCTATGCTGGGACTCATCTAGTTATGTTATCTATTGATTTTGCATACTTATATCCCTGAGTCCCAGCGGGTTAAACCACTGAGTTGCTGAACTTGCTGACCGAAAGGTTGGAGGTTTGAATCTGGGGAACAGGGTGCGCTCCTCCTGTTAGTGAGGTCTGTTGGAAACTAAGCAAGTGGGTGTATATATCTGTGCAATGTCCAGGGTGGGAGAAAGAACTCTTATCTGTTTGGAACAGGTGTGAAAGTTGCAATTGGCCACCTTGATTAGCATTTAATGGCCTTGGGTTTGATGTGGATGTACAGGACTAGGTCCCCTTGTGATTATCTGGTTATCAACGGTAATAAAGTTTACTTACTTACTTACTAGCAGTTCGAAAACATCAAAATGTGAGTAGATCATTAGGTACCACTTCAGTGGGAAAGTAACAGTGCTCCATGTAGTCATGATCTTAGAGGCATTTGCAGACAATGCCGGCTATTTGGCTTAGAAATGGAGATGAGCACCACCCTCCAGAGTCGGACACAACTAGACTTAATGTCAAGGGGAAGCCTTTAGTAAAGGTAAAGGTTTTCCCCTGATGTTAAGTCCAGTTGTGTCCGACTCTGGGGGTTGGTGCTCATCTCCATTTCTAAGCTGAAGAGCCGGTGTTGTCCATAGACACCTCCAAGGTCATGTAGTCGGCATGACTGCATGGAGCACCATTACCTTCCTGTCATTACCTTCATGCTGCTCCCTGGATTTGAACCTGTGACCTTTCACTTAGCAAGTTCAGCAGTTCAGCGGTTTAACCCACTGGAGGCTCTGGTACGAGCAAGCCTTTACCTTTACTTTATATCCCATCCTTCTGTCAAAAAGGGTTGCACTTCATTAATGTAATGGTTCGCTGTGCTCCCGTTTACAGTGTTGTATCACCACCTGCCTCCTTGTCTCGGCTCCTGCAATCCCCAGCCATGTCAAATGAGGACAGCATGAATCTAGTGGGTGTCTCTCTGTGCAGAGCCATGTCCAACTTGACTTATATCATGTAAAACTATTTTTCTGCAACTAATAGTCTTCAAGATACATTTCTGTACTCTCCCTTCCTCCTATTGCAGCAGCGTTAACAGTCATGGCTCCAGTCTCCATAGACCTAGAATTTCTAGTACTGTATTTCTAGGACTGTATGGCGATGTTACAGAAGCATTCCCTCCTGACGTTTTGCCTGCTTCTATGGTAGGCATCCCTAGAGGTCTGTTGGAAACTAGGCAAGTGGGGTTTATAAATCTGTGGAATGTCCAGAGTGGGAGAAAGAACTCTTGTCTGTTTGAGGCAAGTGTGAATGTTGCAATTGGCCACCTTGATAGCATTTAATGACCTTGCAGCTTCAAGGTCTGGCTGCTTACTGCCTCAGGGAATCCTTTGTTGGGAGGTGATTAGCTGGCCCTGATTGTTTCTTGTCTGGAATTCCCTTGGATTGCTTAGTCTCTTCTGCTGTACTTCTGTGAGTCATTATGTGCTGAAATTTAAAATAGCATCAGAAATCTTCAGCAGGAATTCAAAATATGTCACTACAATACATTGCAAAACACACATTGCAGTAATGTCTTTATCAAACTAACCAAATGATACAAAATACATTATGGTAGCTTAGGATGCTCACTGGCTTCTTCATCAGAATTCAAAAATAATAAAGGAGACAAAAGTGACATCACCATAGGTCTAGAACAGCGTTTCTCAACCTGGGGTCAGGACCCCTGGAGGGGGGGGGGTCAGGGGGGGTCAGAGGGGTCGCCAAAGACCATCAGAAAACACAGTATTTTCTGTTGGTCATGGGGGTTCTGTATGGGAAGTTTGGCCCAATTCTATCATTGGTGGGGTTCAGAACGCTCCTTGATTGTAGGTTAACTATAAATCCCAGCAACTACAACTCCCAAATGTCAAGGTCTATTTTCCCCAAACCTCCACCAGTGTTCACATTTGGGCATATTGAGTATTCGTGCCAAGTTTGGTCCAGATCCATCATTGTTTGAGTCCACAGTGCTCTCTGGATGTAGGTGAACTACAACTCCCAAACTCAAGGTCAATGCCCACCAAACCCTTCTAGTGTTTTCTGTTGGTCATGGGAGTCCTGTATGTCACATTTGGTTCAATTCCATTATTGGTGGAGTTCAGAATGCTTTTTGATTGTAGGTGAACTATAAATCCCAGCAACTACAACTCCCAAATGTAAATGTCTATTTTCCCTTAAACTCCACCAGGGTTCACATGAGTATTCATGCCAAGTTTGGTCCAGATCCACCATTGTTTGAGTCCACAGTGGTCTCTGTATGTAGGTGAACTACAACTCCCAAACTCAAGGTCAATGCCCACCAAACCCTTCTAGTCTTTTCTGTTGATCATGGGAGTCCTGTGTGTCACCTTTGGTTCAATTCCATCATTGGTGGAGTTCAGAATGCTCTTTGATTGTAGGTGAACTATAAATCCCAAGAACTACAACTCCCAAATGACAAAATCAAAAAAATTTTGAGTATTATTATTATTATTATTATTATTATGCTATTTGATCCTATATGCTTGGGATGCTATATTTGTAGAATGAATGGTGTCTTCCTGCCTGGCAGAATGGGGTTGGAATTGGATGGCCATCTGTTGGGAGGGCTTGAATGGGGTCTTCCTGCCTGACATGAATAGGGGGTTCTGTATTCTGAGCCTGGGTTATCAATGGATCTGCTCTGAGCTTGATTGCTTTTGCTTCTGCAAAGTTTCCTTTCTCCCGAATCCATCCCATCGGCAGTAGATTAGTCAGGTCTGGAGAGATATTGTAAGGCAGGCCTGCGGGGATGAGGGCTTTTCCTCCAGCTCCTGAACAGAGAGCCTCCGTGGGAGCCTGCTGGCCATGCACGTGCACTCCTTCCCTTCCCCCTCCTTCCCTTAGACTTAAGTTGGACGTCTTTCTGAGGGGGGGGGGGGAGGGAGCGGAAGTGTTTTTTGGGGTTTTTGTGAGTGAATAACATAGCTTGCTTGAGATAGTGTCTAGTGTCCAAATTTGGTGTCAATTCCCCCAGTGGTTTTTGAGTTCTGATGGTATCACAAACAAACATTACCTTTTTATTTATATAGATTTTATTATGTGTACATTGGAGGCATCAAATTGTTGCCGGCTGGAAGCCATCCTGAGTCCCCACCCCCAAATATGCCTATATCCAAATTGATTTTTGAAGAAAACACTTGCAGAAAAAAAGGATAGTGAAATATATGCCTTATTCTGACTTCATTTTCTTTTCATCGGCTTGTTCAGTCCACAGATACAAAGAGAAAAACTATCTTGAATTATAGTGGCTTTTGGCAGCAGTTATGTGTCTATTGTTAAGAGAGCATGCAAGTTTTAGTTTCCTTTTCTTGAATGTCTTAGGTGTGGTCCCTGACATCTGACTTCAAGGAAATTTAGCTGCCCTTGAGTGTTTCCTTATCATAAAGAAACAGAGCCTAATTATGGACTGCATGCTGAAAACATAGCACTCTCATATTTGCAAGGGCTATGAATGAGGCTAAAGGTCAGGCTGAAGTGGAAGACAAGAACACATACATCCTTGGAAATCTTGATTTTTAGTGAATGAAGATGTAGGTGTAGCAATTCTCCCATCTGGCATTGCTCCTTGTATTCTTGTTTTCATTTCCCTTCCCTAACTTGGTATCCTCTCCAATGTCGTTCTTCCAGCTCCTCATATGCTTCCATATTGTTTGATTCATCTGCAACATGCAGTTATAGTAATATGATACCACTTGAACTACAATAAACAACATTGTAAGCAATCTTCTCAATCTTCTAGACCAGTGGTACTCAACCTTCCTAATGCATTCCTTACAGTTCCTCATGTTGTGGTGACCCCCAACCATAACCCTAACATTATGAATCACCATGTAAATAATGATCTGCAGGATGTACTTTCATTCACTGGAGCAAATGTGGCACAAATACCCGGTATGCCCAAATTTGAATACTGGTGGGGTTGGTGGGGGGGATTGATTTTGTCACTTGGGAGTTGTAGTTGCTGGGATTTACAGTTAACATGTAAACAAAGAGCATTCTGAACCCCACCAACAATGGAATTGAACCAAAGTTGGCCAGGGACAGTCAGGCCGCAAAAGTGTCTCTCTCCATGGAATGACTTCATTTTATTCATAGATCATATCAGAGTATCTAATTTAGCCCCAAAACATGCCTTTGACTTATACACAAGGTCAACTGATAATGAATATATAGAGTAGATAAATCTTGATCTGATACACACAAAAAATCTTTGTTCCAAAT